CCCCACCCCCACCTCCGCCTGCAGCCCTCTGCGCGGCCACCGAGGCGCGCGTGATGCGCACGCTGAGCCAGCTGCCGTACGGCGGCAACCCCGGCGACTTCAACCGCGCGTGGGCGCCGTTTGCACAGGCCGGCCTGCCCGTCTACGCCCCTCAGGCGCCCCTCGCGTCGACGCCCGATGGGGCTCGCCTCGAGTCCGGCCCCGTGAGCGCCCCCCAGACGCTTACCTCCTACGATGCCTACGGCGTCGGCGACCCCCGCCTGACCGCCACCCAGGCCCGCAACTTCAACTACGGGATGCAGTACGGCCTCTACCCCCTGTGGGGCCGCCGCCGCAGCTGAACGCGCGGCAGCATGCATAGGGGACGGCGCCATGGCGGCGGCGCTTGGTGATAGAGGGAGCGGCCCACTTGTATATGGGGCTGGTCTCCTTGGCTTGCTCTGATATCTCGGCCTCCTGCCGTGCTCGACCTCTCCTCTCTGGGGGGCGCTCTGTCTTATGAAACCCACCTCCACCCTTCCCTTGATCGAGCTTTCCTGCCGACCATGGCGGGCAGTCTTGCATTCGCGTGGTCACCTTGTGCGTGCATGTCCAGAACAGGGTGCAGCGGGGCATGCAATACGGCGGCCTCTGGATCCCACATGTTGCATCAACAGACACAGCTTGCATATCCTGATGTCGTGCTGCTTGCACACGGCCACTCTGCATAAAAGCGGCGCTTGTATACTTGTGTTGGCTTGTTGTTGATTAGATTCCGGGCATCTTGATGCCTCCTTGCAGTCATATGATTTGGAACTGGCTCCCTTGCTTCTGCTCGCGCCTACCTGCGCGCATCCTCGCCATCTCTTATGCTTTCTTTCTCCCCTCGTGCGTTGTTCAGTGTACAATGCCTCCCCTCCTTTCGCCGTGCTCACGGGCCCCTAATTTCAGGGCGGCTCTCGACACGTTTTGCGTGGGTGTTGCTGCTCAAAAGGCGGGAGCTGTGCATGTTCAGTTGTTGGCGTGTGGTATGACACGCTTGCTGGTGTAACACCATGTCACTCATCATCAGAAAGAGTTGTTGTAATCAGTCACGGTCGCACTGCATTGGGTTGCTTGGCCACCGCCCACGCCCACGCCCGGCGCCCGTTGCGCACTGGTGCCCATTGTGCACGACAGGGTTGCACGCGAGGGGGCCAGGTGACAATGCTGTGTTATTCTAGTTGTGACGGTGGGTGTAACGGGTCAGGCATGTTGTTGGCGGGCAATGGGCGGCGGACGGCGGGCAGCAGGCGGTGGTGAGGGGGATCCCCCACACGCGCATGTCTCCGGAGACATGCGCGTGTGGCGAAGATGTCAGGGGCAGGATGGGGCGGATGCTGGTGCGTGCTCGCAAATCGGCGCCACCGGCAGCTCAAAAGCTGGCTGTGACTATGGGGTGCAGGCGGGCCACAGCTGGCAGGCGCTAGATAGTTTCCACCAGGGATCGTTAGACAAGCGAGGGCGCTAGCACAGCTCAGTGGTTGTAGGGGCAGCAACAACAGGACGGCTCTGAGTAGGATGCCAGGTATCTGCATCCACATGGTCAGGTTTGGACTAAGGCTGTTTGCACATGCTGAAATCTGTAACTCCCACTAATCAAAGGCCGGCTGACGGTGCGTTGGTGGATTGATCAGCAGTGCAGGTGGCCGACGGCGAGGCGATCCAACGGGCTTACACAAAAGCAGCTCTTGCAGCTCTTCCTCCAGGCCCAAGCCGCAGATGTGAGTCGTCTTGATTATATACCTGCAACAATTACTTTAGCTTGTAGTTTCGTGCCGGTAAACAAGCCGTCCAAAGGAAGTTTTTGCCCCGCGCCTATACCCATCGGTCCGCCTTGTCGCCAAAACAAAGCTGTCTCTCGCTTAGCAGAGCTCACACATCGTCCCCTAGAACAGACGCTTAACTCATCCAAGTCCTGCAGACCCACCGGCGGGCTCTTCTCAAGTGCTCCCAAAGCACCTTGCTACTTCGTCTCGCAAGGCTCGGCAGCGGGTTGCAGCGCACAACAAGATGCATTCTATTTGCACCAGGAAGGCAGTGGCCTTTGCCATGCTGATAGCTGTCTCTGGTGAGCGGACCGTGCCCTCGTGCTGCGAGGTGTCAACTGCACCCCTGCCTCCTGCAGCAGCTGGTCACACAACTCGAGCTGGGAATGCCATGAACCCAGCATGTGCATCTGCATCATCAATGGACAGCAAGAATTTGTGTGTGGCCAGGCGCGCCGCATGCACCTGCAGCGCATGCAAAATGTGAAGGCACAGCCAGTGCAACACACGCATGACGGCCACATCGTTTCTGTTGCTTAGTGCCCTGCCCTCCCACCCCCACACTTTCCC